TTGTGCCCAGCCCTTTTAAATTGTTTTAGTTAAATTTTTAAAAAATCTATATATTTTTACAAACATACTTTTCTAGTTTCTATATACTCTTAGGTACATATTCATTAAGTTCTGGCTCTGAAATTTACTAGCTGTCTCAGTTTGTTCATATGTAAAATGGGAAAATAGAATATTGTTGGTTCTCAGAAAACAATACCCCCAAATATGACACTTTGACATGCTGAACTAAAGAAGCAGCCTCAAGGTCTCTCTGATCTCCCCCCTATTCCCTTGTATCTCAATCCTCTGCCTGTTCCAAAAAACTGGATGAGGCTATTCTCTTAAGTTCCCTTATTTACCTAGAAATCAGACCTGCCATAGAAAAACACCATTGCCTTAATCCTCTCCCTGAAATTTCATTAACCAGAGAAGATTAAAATTCCCCTAACAGAGGAAGAGACTGAAAATTAGACACCGCATCTAGAGCCCAGACGAACTTCGTTCCAAACTATTGTCTGTTGTCTGATCCCATTTAGTTCCCAAAGAGAACCATTTACCAATCCTTTTTTTTTTTTTTTTTTTTTTTGAGACAGAGTCTTGCTCTGTTGCCCGGGTTAGAGTGCCGTGGCATCAGCCTAGTTCACAGCAATCTCAAACTCCTGGGCTCAAGCAATCCTACTGCCTCAGCCTCCCGAGTAGCTGGAACTACAGGCATGCGCCACCATGCCTGGCTAATTTCTTATATATATATTTTTAGTTGTTCAGCTAATTTCTTTCTATTTTTTTAGTAGAGACGGGGTCTTGCTCTTGCTCTTGCTCTTGCTTGTTTGAGGCTGGTCTCAAACTCCTGAGCTCAAACAATCCGCCTGCCTCGGCCTCCCAGAGTGCTAGGATTACAGGCATGAGCCACCGCGCCCAGCCTACCAATCCTTATTTGAGCATTGGGCCTACTCATTTCCCCTAAAAATCATTTACTACCCTTCAAAATTGCCACATTTTCCCCATCTCCCTCTCCCCTATGAAGAAGAGTATATAAGATTCTGAATCTCATTAAATTGTTGGGTAATCATTCTCCTGTGATTTCTCCATGTTTATGCAGGTTAAATAAATTTGTATGACGTTTTCTATTAATCTGCCTATTGTTAGTTCATTTTCAGTGAATCTTCAGAGGGCAGAAGGGAAGCTTTTCTTCCACTCCTACAACATACCTTATAGGGATATTTTGACAGTTTAATGATATAATGAATGCAAAACCCCATATTTACAAATAACAACCAACCAAAAAGTATTGTCCACACCCCCACTATGATACACTAATGACTTCTAAATTTGTACATTTAGGCTAGACTTCTTATTGACAAGTAAAAATATTCATCTGCTTGTTATTTCTACCTTGATGCCCCATAGGCACTTCAAATTCAACATACTCCAACCAAACTCTTCTTTCTCTCAAAAATTGCTTCTGTTCCTGTGTTTCCTAGCTTTCTGAAGTTTCTACCATATGACTGAAGCAAAAACCTTGATGTTATCTTTGATTCTTACCTCGCTCTAAACACCCAATTAATCACCAAGTCCTGTTGAGTTTTATTCCTAAATAATTCCAGTACATGCCTTTTCCTCATAATCAGCACTACTCCTTCATGGTTTGGATCCTTATTTTTAATCAGTGTTAATGCAATACCTTCTTTACTACCTTCTTTCTCACCTTCTTCCAATCTATCCTGAACACTTTTGTTGGAAGGATTTTTTGAGACACAAGACTTATTATAGGCCAAGAGTGGTGGCTCACGTTTGTGATCCTAGCACTTTGGGAGGTTGAGGCAGGAGGACTGCTTGAGGCCAGGAGTTCAAGATCAGCCTGAGCAAGAGGGAGACTCTGTCTCTACAAAAAATAGGTACACTAGCCAGGCGTGGTGGTGCACGTCTATAGTCCCAGCTACTTGAGAGGCTGAGGCAGGAGGATGGCTTGAGCCCCAGAGTTTGAGGTTGCAGTGAGTTATGATGATGCCACTGCACTCTAGCCAGGGCAACAGAGCAAGTCCCTGTCTCAAAACAAAACAAACAAACAAACAAACAAACAAAAAAAAACAGAAAAAAAAATGAAAGGACTGATTATAGTTCTCCTTAGCTCAAAGGTCTTTAATGGCTTCCTATTGCCTACAGAATAATGAAATCTAACACCTCTGCTCAACATATATAGCTTTTTATAATTTGACTTCTGCTTATCTGTCCAGTCTCCTCTGGACTAGATAACATTTCCTTTTCCTGCCTTAATCTGTAATATTCAAACTTATTGCATTCCTCAGAACATATCATGTTTTCTCATGATATATGTACATGCTGTTTTGTCTGACATAATTCCGTGTCCCCTACTCCCCCACTTTTCCTTCGAGTAAGGTCCTACTCATTCTCTAAATTTTGGCTCAAACCCACCTAGTTCATGAAGCCTACTCTGATTTGCCTAGAACTCTGCCTATTCTACCATTGCTCTTTGTACTCATGCAGTTTATTTTTAATTTGCTTGCATGTTTATTTCTTAAGTAGGTTTAGTTCCCAGGTGGAAAATGACCAATTTTTGTCTGATATTTCCAGCATTTACTGTAGTGCCTGGAATAAAAGCAACACAGATTCTTCGAGATTGAAGGTAGATACCTTCTGGGTCTGAGGAAGTTTTCCAGGAGAGGGTGTCATAGTAAATAACAATCCTTCCCCTTTCCCCCCTCAAGTTTTCCAAGTTTCTTTCAAAACCTAGCAGGTAGTTCATTATTAACTTTCCTTATCTACCACTTCAGGTAGAATTGACCATTACTTTCTTTGTGCTTCTGCTCAATGTGTTATATAAGTCCTATCCTAGCACCAATCATGTTTTTTTTTTTTTTTTTTGGCAGAGTCTCACTGTGTTGCCCCGGCTAGAGTGCCGTGGCGTCATCCTAGCTCACAGCAACCTCAAACTGCTGGGCTCAAGCGATCCTTCTGCCTCAGCCTCCCGAGTAGCTGGGACTACAGGCATGTGCCACCATGCCCGGCTAATTTTTTCTATGTATTTTTTTAGTTGTCCAATTAATTTCTTTCTAATTTTAGTAGAGACGGGGTCTCGCTCTTGCTCAGGCTGGTTTCGAACTCCTGAGCTCAAACAATCCGCCAGCCTCGGCCTCCCAGAGAGCTAGTATTACAGGCGTGAGCCACCGCGCCCGGCCCTAGCACCAATCATGTTTAAGTTTGTATCCCAAGCATCTGAGACGTTAGGCACACCATTGTAGGGGAGGAAAAAATGGCTTCCCTCTACTCTTCTAGGTTCTTTGGCTGGTCTATAAATTAAATTGCCATAAATCAGATTAACAGGAGAAAAGTAGTTTTAATTAGGTATGTATGGTTGGGAATCCCACAAAATATGAGACTGAAAGGGGCAGATGATAGCACAGCGTCCTGACCTACACAAAGAAATGGGCCAGCAGAGGTGGTCCCAGCTGTAGGTTGAGGTGGGAGGATCATTGAGCCCAAGAGTTCAAGGCTAGCCTGGGCAACACAGTGAGAACCTGTCTGTTTAAAAAAACAAAAAACAAAGAAAAAACAAAACAATTGGGGCTTGGGGCTTCTCCAGCATGGTGGGGACAAATTAAGGGAGCGTTGGGGGTAGAATGTAAGATGACTAAAGGTTGCCTTGCTATGCAGGTAAGTCTCTCAGGTGATAAAAGTTGACTAGAAGCAGCTCTCTTTTGTAGTACGGATACCTCATTAATTAAAATTTCCTTTATAGATGTAAATTTCTCTTTACAAAAGAGGAGTTTTATCCTTTCTTTTAGGCAGTAGAGGGGGAGGTGAAGCACTTTTCCTGTGTGGCTGGTTCTCAATTTCTTTTAGCTCAAAGTAATCAATATGTCAGAATGGCATATTTTGGGGTGGCATATTCTGGACTCCTGCAGCTATATTTTGTCCTGAGCCCCAGCACCATAATGAACCAGTGTTCATCCTGATAAAAGGGACTTTCTTAAACATTCTAGGGGAATCTCACCATTATACGTAGACTGTAAAAAATTAAAAAATCCTTCACAATCCAACTCAAACGATTGTTTCTAAAACGATGCATCCTCCAGGCACTTTACTTGTCCTCAGACAGATGGCCAAAGCTTGGCTACCGGAACAGCATATGCTAGGAGAAAGCTGACGAGCGCCAAGCAAAGGATGATTGGCTGCTGGGACTCAGAAGTTACATGTTCTCCTCAGACCAACGCGGAAACTAAAAAACCGCTGAACGTTCAGGTTTTGAAATACGGTTTTTGCATCCTAAAGAAAAAAGATTAACCTATCAGGAAGAACCGAGCACATCCAATTACCAATCAAGGGCGGGAAAGAAGCCAAAGCCTGGGGATACCCACGCACCGACGAGGACGTCATTCTCTAGTCCCCGCCAATGAGCGGCTGGACGGGGGGCGGGGCAATAGGCGGACTAATTGCCTTAGAAAACAAACAACGATCTGCAGTACAACTATGCTAACCACAGTCCTCACAGCTGGAGCAAACTCCTGAGCAGGGGGCTGACTGCGTGCTTTCCACTCTCCTTCTCGCCTGGGGCTAGCCACAGTGGAGCATCCCTTATCTATCAGAACAGGGGCCTCCTTCTCACTACGTCCCACAGAATCGCAGACAGCACACTGTAACTTTGCGCTTTCTACCTTCCCAGGAGCTGGGAGTCCGTTGCTACCTGAGGGGTGCGGCCCAAGTGCGCAGGCGTGCATGCCTTGCGGGGGCGAGGCCGTGGCGGCCCGAGGTAACCTGGGAGCTGTATTTCCTACGCGGCCCAAGCTCCCGCTGCTCTTCAAGCCTTCGGGACTACGTTTCCCAGGAGCCTCCGCGACATGGGGCGGGCGGGCTGGCTCGTTAATGAGCTCGAGGAAGCTGCGGCGCGGCCCACCAGGTTCCAAAACAAGGAAATGAAGGGGGGAGGCGGGACTGGGGGTGTCTGCGGGAGCCGCCGCCGCCGCGGAGGAGGAGGAGGTGGTGGAGGTGGCTGCCGCGGCCGCCGAGGAGTCCCTTGCTGAAGGCGGATCGCGGAGCGGCGGGCGGCGCGCGCGCGCCCGAGAGGCGGCTGTTAGAGAAGTGGAGCGGCGGCCGCGGGGGGAGGAGGAGGAGGGACTGAGCGGCGGCGGCCCCCGCGTCCCGGTGCCTCTATGGGGAAAGCAGACAATGGATTATGATTTCAAGGCGAAGCTGGCGGCGGAGCGGGAGCGGGTGGAGGATTTGTTTGAGTACGAAGGGTGCAAAGTGGGACGCGGCACCTACGGGCACGTCTACAAGGCGAGGCGGAAAGATGGGTAAGAGCAGGGGCGGGGGGAGTAGGCTCGCTCGGATTCTCGCCCTACCCGCGCCTCGGCGGGATGGGTGGGTCGGAGCCCAGCGGGCCGTACCTGAGGGGCGAGGCGGCGGTGGTCGTGGGGCTGCTGCGTCCCGAGGCGGACTCGAGGGAGTCCCGTTCTGCCCGTCCCCACGCGAGGCCCCGTCGCGCCCCTCGAACTCCCACGGCGGAGCCCGGTCGGGGGCGTCGGTGCGGTCCCGGAGGGCGGGCGCCCTCGGCATGCGTGGAGCCGGTGGTGGGACTCGAGTTGGGACCTCGGTCGGAGGTTGAGTGTGTGGGTCTGGTCTCTCGGGGGAACGCAGAGGGCTGGGAGAGCTCCGCCGATGAGTTACCGCTCCGGCCCTGGGTTAGTGACGGTTGTTGTGGAACTTCCAATCGGCCGAGCGCCTCCCGAGGGCGGCGGTTTGAAACCTCGCCGGGTAGCCCGTCGGGCGGACGAGCACTGGGGTCCTCGCCAGCCCCTGGAGTCTGACCTGTTGGGCACTGCCGCCCCTAGCCACGACCCCCGTGCCTGCGGCCAGCCTGCCTGTTGGCCCCTCAGCACAGTCCATCCCGTCCCTGTCGTGTACCTGGCGACTTCTGGACCCCTCTGTCCACCTACCCCGGATTTCTCATTGTCACATTCTGAATTCTGTACCTTGCCCCTCGAAGGGGACCTCCTGACAGACTGCGTCTTGCAAGTGACAACTTCAGAGTTCGCTCAGTTCTTTGGTACCTACTCACCCACCCCCTTGTGTATCTGGGGTATTATGTCCTCCACGCCATCGTCTGCCAAATGACTGCGTGGTGGGGTTTATCGACCACCTAATTATCAAGAACGGAATATGGAGTGACATAGAGCTGGGCCTGAACCTTTGTTTTTCTTGGAGTTGCGGGAGAACTGTAGGGACCCCTTGGGAAGCCTCTACCGATTGTTCTCTTAGGAGAAGAGGAGCTGGATAATGTATTGAGAACTCCTTTCCTTCCTCCTGGAGGGCGAATAAGCTCGTACAGTAGGACAGGTGGAACCAGCTCACTGCCTGCGATGGGTAGGTTTAAACCATTCATCACTTCTTGTCCCATCCTGGCAGGAATTACCCTCCCCCAAGGTTAGGGAGCCTAGGAATGTTGGGGAGCCTGTCCGTCCTAGACTGTAAAGACGGTCAGTCTATACGGAGAGACTTTTTAGTATTGTAACGGAACATTTCTTAATAAAGTGATTATCAGCCACCAATGACGTTAGTAAGATTTTAAATGTTGCTTCTCTTTCTACACGCTGTTGTAATTTGATGTGGTTGGTTTTTGAGCTCCAGGACCAAAGTAGGCAGGGTATGTGCGCGCTGTCATACAAGTAACAACAAAATACAACTTTATAAAGTGTTTTATCATAAAGTATTACAAAAATCAAAAAGTACTATCCAGGTGTAAAGCATTATTACTGCAGATGATTTTTTCTCTTGTAATAACTGAACAGAACCCATGGTACTCAGTTGTCATAATTCTTCTAGTTAATTACCAGGTGTTCTTGAATGCATATCATGGAATGTGAGGTACTATAATTAATTTATATTTTGGTTTTGGAATATCCACTCTACCTGTTATACTGGTGTTCCTGTGGAAATCTTATCAGATATATTTGGGGGAAGCACATCCAGTTTTCCTATTTGGACATTGTTGTTACAGAATAAATGTGAGTCTCCCCCCCATACTCCTATGCTAACACTGTAATATACTTTATCTAGAATTTTAAATATGTATTGTTTTTTTTGTTGTTGTTAAAATAGCTTTCTTTTATCAGGTAACTTTTGAGAAGTTAAAAATTATGCTTCTGAATTGTATTTGAGTAGCTCAGGCTTACAACAAAAAACAGAGAATCCCTTCTTCTATTTGTTCTTTTTAAATATTTTTGCCTCTAATAAAGTTTTTGGTTCCAATATACTTCCTTCTTGAGTGAAATTTGTTAATTAGAATTAGTAAAGCTTCTTTAGTAGAGTAAGATCAGCTTGTGTATCTTCAAATTATAATGCTCTTTTTGTTTTTTGAAATTTTAGGATCTGAAAGCATTAGTTCCAATCACTACAGTATATGTAAGAAAAACTCTAATAAAGGTTTTTTGCTTGGACCAAAGGTTTGTTTGAGATTTACAGCTTTACAGTAAAAACCCACATCTTTTTTAATTTTTATTTTTAAAAATTTACTTATTTCTTAGAAACAGGGCCTTTCTCTGTTGCCCAGGCTGGAGTGCAGTGGCGTATCATAGCTTACTGCAGCCTCAAATTCCTGACACATCTTTTGTGGGTGGGTAGTGCGATTAGTTTTATGTTCATTGATACCAGCAATTTGAAGGAACAAAGTTTTTAGTGATGGTTCTAAACTGTGATCCAGATTTGCATAGTAAAGGATTTTACACTATGATCGTGGTAAACTACAGTTTAGCTCTTTCCAGATTTTATTTTGGTTAACTCAGAAAAATATACTATTTTAGGGAGCAAGAGGGAAATCACTCACATAGGTATGTAAAAGAGAAATTATTCTGGTGTATATAATGTAGTATATAACCCCAAAATTGTTCAGGTCCTTAGAAGAAACATTGAAAAAAGTAACAACATAAAATATCTTTAGAAAAGCCTCTGCTCATAGTTTAATACTATAGTTTATAAAACCTGGGAATGTTATTTCCCTTGAAATATGACTTTAGGCTATATTATGTTACATAAATTTATAACAAGCTGATTTACATCTTGAATTTTTCACCTTTTGTAGAGGTGTTTTGTTCACCTTTTTGTTTTGAGGGAAGAGAGGCTTTTGACCCAACTATCTTTTAAAAAAAAAGTCAGGCTCAGAAATGAGAAGGCCAAAGCGGGGAGGGGGAAAAATAAAAAAAAAAATCAGGTTTAAAGTTAATCTTGAGGAATAACAAGTTCAGAATATTTCTAAACTTTTTAGTATGAGCAAGAATTTTTAAAAGTTTTTCTTTATTATTAAAAAGCCATACATACATGGTTACAAATCTCAGGACTACATTTCTTCAGTTGAAGACATTTTTTATTTTGATAAAGGAATATTAAAAAGTTCTTTTGTCAATAGAGGTTCAGACGAACATGATTCCATAGCATATATTATGTCTGAAAACTTGTACCCAACAATACTGCCATTCAACTTTGCAGACATTTAGTCTCTTGAATCACTCCAATAAAAGAATGCTCTCTGGATATGTGTTTTTGAAAAATACTTAGTAATAGAAAGTGAAATGGCTGACATCTTACGAAGTTTCAGTTTTGTCAGGGTTTCAGATGAGTAGTTGGTGACTACATAGCTTAATGTACGTCATGAAATTCTTCACAAATGTAGGAAGTACATGTAGATACATATAGGTAAATAATAGACACAATAGTATCTGCCTGTGATGGATTTTTCACAATTGGTTTGTAGTTAAAATAGATTATCGTATTTGCATTTTTATTGGAGACCTCCAGAAGATTAAAGAGGTATCAGTTTGATCATAGTGTAATTGGACTTTTAAGAGTTTTAGATCATCTAATTCAACTTCCTCTTTTTACAAATGAGAAACCCAGAGCTTCGGGAGGTCGTCATGCCCATAGTCTCACAGCAAAGATGAAGCCTGTAATCCAGATCTAATTCTGAATTTTTGCATTTTCTAATATGTTTTCCTTCCTAATACCATGGGAGGAAAACCAGAAAAGGCCATGTTACCTCCAGTCTTATTGTATAAACTTTTTCCATGCAAAAGATAACATTCATACCAAAAAATATGGAAAGGGGAAAATATATAAGGGGCATTTTTAAAAAGGAGTGTAGGCTTGCAGATTCTACCACACGTAGCTGCTTTTTTTCATTTTGTTTCTCTTCATCCTCTGTGTCACCACTTTTGGCCATTATCTCTGATTTGTACAGTAGCTGAATTGGTCTCAGCTATTAACCTTTCCGTAGTCTAGTCTAAAATCCAAATTGCTGCTAGTGTCATTTTCCTATAAAAATCAATCATGTCATATCTCTTTTTGGAAAACTGCGTTCCTTGTGGCTTATATGATCAGATCCAATCTTAATTCCTTAGTTTGGCATGTAATTCCTTAGTTTTGCATTTGGATCCTGAAGTCTATAGCCTTTACACCTACTACCAATTCCCTCCTTTTTTCCAGTGTGTTTAAGCTACATACTTCTGTAGCATTGAACTGCTTATATTCTCTGGGACTTAACAAGTCCTTTTATGTCTCATTTTCTTTTCTACATTCAAACTAGAATGGTGTTGCTCTCCTATTCCTCCCTCCCCCTTTCCCTTATCCCTACAAACCTAGCAAACTCCTGCTTATACTTCAATACCCAACTAAAATA